AAGCTGTCCCCTCTCATCACTCATTGCTTCTGTTTTTTCCTTTCCAGGGAAACGAGATGCAGCACTGGGTGAGTCTCCGTGAGCTCCTCCTGGCTCAATGTCCTCTCCTGGGCCCCCTGTGCTCTGCCCTTTCCTCCCTTGCCAGAGCAGGGATGGGCCCTTTACCATTCCCACAGCCACTGGGGACCAGTGGTGGGATGTGACCTGCTCCTCTCTCTCCTTGTAGCTTGGAGAAAGTTTCTGCTTCCTGAAAATCCAGGTAATTGGGTATTTTGTTGTTATTTATGTTGGTTGATGAGTCATTCTTCTCCCTTTTCCTCTGTGCGAGGTGTAACTTGGATGCAGTGAAGGGACTGGCCATGCCTGGGCGTGTTGGTGGCCAAGACCTCCCAGACCTTGGCACTGGGATGGATTTCACCCCATTTTCTTGCCATTCTACCCCATTCTGAACTACATTCTGGAGCCCCAGAGGCACCATCTCCCTCCAAGGCCCCACCAGTGCCTCTTCCCAAGGGTCTGAGCTTGGCTGTGGCCGTGCTGGGGCCGGCCCCGTGGTGGGGATGGAGAGGAGGAAGGAGATGCCCACTCTCCTGCCCTGTGGGGCACATCCTGTCACTGGGGGGGTGAAAGCTGCCCAGGACTGAGCGCTGATGCTCCTGCTCCTCCTGTCCCCTGCAGACGTGGTGACCCTGGACTACTTGTCGTGTTGGAGGATTTGAGAAGTGTGAAACGTGGACCCACGGAGCAGAACCTGCCTGACACCCCCGAGAGATTTAGTTCTTGGCCCTGTGTGCTGGGCCAGGAGAGGTTCCGGGAGGGGAGGCACTGCTGGGAGGTGGAGGTGAAGGGGGAGGTGGGACATAATCTATTGTGGGGTGTTGGAGTGGCCAAGGAGTCCTTGGAGAGGAAGAGGAATGTATTCCTGAGCCCTGCAGTAGGTGTCTGGGCGGTGTGGTACTGTGAAGGGCAGTTTGAGGCTCTCACCTCTCCTCGCACCATCCTTTCCAACTCCCTGGTCCCCAGGAGGATCTGGGTCTGTCTGAACTGCACACGGGGGCTGGTGACTTTCCTCAACACAGACACTGGGGTCGAGATCTTCACTTTCCCACCAGCCTCGTTCCACGGGGAGACCCTGCGGCCCTGGTTTAGCGTGGGAACATGGGAAACCCAGCTGTGCCTCAGGGGCAGCACCCCCCGGGCCCTCAGCTCCACTTCCATCCCCACCACAGCCACTGGCAGACCCTGTTATTCTCCAGAGACTCCCCACTCTCCTCTCCTGGACCCCGCAGGAGATGTCCCCCTTTGCCCTGGCCCAGCCCAGGGACCAGAGGGGGACTGAGGTCAGGGGAGAGGGGCTTCTGTGGGGTCCACTCCAGTGCTGTGAGGCTCTGAGCCGGGTGCATGTGTCCTCATTTCAGCCTTGATGGAGTTAATTTGCTTTCTAGTATGGGCTGCATTTTGAGTTTAGTGTGAGAATGACAGTGATCACACGTATTTTTATACATGGCTGAGAAATGTTCAGGTCAGTCCAAGGGCTTTTCCAGCTTCCCCTCGCAGCCGAGAGGGAGCACGGCCAGGACGATGCAGCCTAAGGGATATTCCACCCCACAGACGTCCTGCTGGGAATAGAAAAGTGGGCTGCTGGGGGGCTGGGACCCTCTGTAGCTGCTTGGGATGGGCTGAGCAATCAGTCCTCAGGTGCTGTGGGCAACTGGTGTTGTATCACTTTATTTTGTATATTTTTTTTTTATAATTAATAATGTTATTTTCCTCTGACATAACTGTTGTCTTAAACTGTTTTCTTTATTCTGACCCAGGAGGTGTTTTTCCCTCCTTTTCTTCCTCTTCTCTAGACACTGGTGGGGGAGTTGCTGGGGGTGGGGGGGGAGAATAGAAAAGTGGGCTGCTGGGGGGCTGGGACCCTCTGTAGCTGCTTGGGATGGGCTGAGCAATCAGTCCTCAGGTGCTGTGGGCAACTGGTGTTGTATCACTTTATTTTGTATATTTTTTTTTTTACAATTAATAATGTTATTTTCCTCTGACATAACTGTTGTCTTAAACTGTTTTCTTTATTCTGACCCAGGAGGTGTTTTTCCCTCCTTTTCTTCCTCTTCTCTAGACACTGGTGGGGGAGTTGCTGGGGGTGGGGGGGGGGAGAAGGAGCCGCTGGCTGGGGTTAAACCATGCTGGGGGACAAGGGACATCTTGGACCCTCATGGACCTTTCTGGATCCCCTTGGACTCCCTTGGGCCCCCTTGGATCCCTTTGGAACCTCTTGGAAGACCCTTAGACCCCTTTGGGTCTCCTTGGAACCCTTTCAACCCTTTTTGATCTCCTTAAATTACTTGGATTCCTTGAACCTCTTGCATCTTCTTGGACTCCCTTGAAACTCCTTGGGACCCCTTAGACACTCCTGGATTCTGTCGAATTCCACTCAGAGCCCCCTCCAATCCCCTCAGATCCCCTGGAACCTGTGGGATCCCATTAGATCCCCTTGGTACCACTCGGAACTCTGCTTGGAACACCTGGAACCCATTGTATCCCCTCGGAGGTCCTTGCAACCCCTTCAACCCACCAGAAATCCCTCTTGGACCCCCGTGGAACCTTTTGCAACCCCTTGCAACCCCTTGGATCCCCTGAGCTCTGCCCAGCATGTACTAAACTTGCGCCCCGTGACCTTTTTCTAAAGAAAACTGCTTTTTCTCTACCCACTTCCCTTCCCACTTGGGCACTGGTGAAGGCGGCTGTGCCTTTTTGTTTATTTGGGGGATTTTTGGCTCTGTGTGCAACAGCATCTTTGTCCGGGAGCAGCTTTAAGTGCAAAGGAAGAGGAGTCTTCTGAGAGTGGAAGGAATTCCCAGCCTGGGGCTACTTCACAGCGATATTTCATGTTACTACAGATGCTGCTTCAGGGACCAGGGGTGGCCCTGGACCGGGGACTGGGGGCTGCAGGTCTTTTTTCTTCCATCCCCACCAGAGCCTCCAGCAGAGTCTGCTCTTCTCCAGAGACTCCCCACTCTTCTCTCCTGGATCCTGCAGGAGATGTCCCTCCCTGCCCTGCCCCAGCCGAGGGAGAAGAGGGGGAGTGAGGGGCAAGGGACAGGGGCCTCCCCAGTGCTGGGAAGCTCTGACCTGGGGAGGGTGTATGTGTGTTCTCGTTTCAGCTTTGATGGAGTTAATTTTCTTTCTAGTTTCGGCTCCGATTAGGATTTAGTGTGGGAATACTGTTGGTCACACATGATTATATATGTGGCTGAGAAATGTTCACAGTCAAGGGCTTTTCCAGCTTCCCCTCACAACTGAGAGGGAGCATGGCCAGGATGAGGTAGCCAAAGGGATATTCCACCCCACAGATGTCCTTCTTGGGATAGAAACGGGGGGGTCTCGGTGGGCTGGGAACCTCCACTGCTGCTGGGGATGAGCTGGGCAATCAGTCCTCAGGTGCTGAAGGTAACAGGTGTTGTATTCCTTTATTTTGTATATTTATTTACAATTAATAATGTTATTTTCCTCTACTGTAACTGATGTCTTAAACCATCTTTATCCATAGAATCATAGAATGGTTTGGGTTGGAAGGGACCTTAAAACTCATCGAGTTCCAACCCCCCTTCCCTGGGCAGGGAAGGACACCTCCTACCAGATCAGGTTGCTCCAAGCCCTGTCCAACCTGGCCTTGAACCCCTCCAGGGATGGGGCAGACACAGCTTCTCTGGACAACCTGGGCCAGGGTCTCACCACCCTCATTTCTTCCCAATATCTCATCTAAATCTTCCCTTTTTCAGCTTAAAACCCTTCCTCGTCATCCTATGGCTCCCCTCCCTGATCAACAGTCCCTCCCCAGATTTCCTGGAGCCCTTTTAGGGACTGGAAGGGGCTCGAAGGTCTCCCTGGAGCCTTCTCTTCTCCAGGCTGAACAACCCCAGCTCTCTCAGCCTGTCCTCACAGCAGAGGGGCTCCAGCCTCAGAACATCTCCATGGCCTCCTCTGGCCCTGCTCCAACAGGTCCCATGTCCTTCTGCTGTTGGTGGCCTCAGAGCTGGAGGCAGCACTGGGGGGATGGGTCTCTGCAGAGCAGAGCAGAATCCCCATCCACCAACACCCTCAAGTCCTTCTCTTCAGGACTCTTCTCCAGCCATTCTCCTCCCAGTCTGCATTTGGGCTTGGGACCCATGTGCAGGACCTTGTACTTAGCCTGGTTTAACTTCATGCGGTTCACATAGTCCCACCAGCAACAAAATCCCTGAAGGTGCCCTCAAATCCCAATGTCCATGTCTCCAACAATCATGTTGACCAGCACTGATCCCAGTATCTACCCTTGAGGAATGCCACTTGTCACTGGTGTCCCCTTGGCCATGGGAGCCATTGACCACAACTCTTTGAGTGCCACTATTCAGCCAGTTCCTCATCCATCCATCAAATCCATGATTTTCCAATTTTGGGACCAGGATTTCCTGGGGGACGGTGTCAAAACGCAGCCTGGAGCAACCGTTGTGTGGCTCCTTGGGGTGGGAGGTCTTCAAAGAAAATTCTCTTTTTATTTCTCCACTTTGCCTTTCAGCTCCTCCAAATCCACCACAAAAACACCCCAAAATATACCAAAAGCAGGGAGTTTTCCAAGCCTTTGGAATATTCCTCGATATTCCCAACTGCAAAATCCGGAAAGACACTAGAGGTCAGGCTAAGAGTAAAGATCCTTTGGTCAGGGCTTTGTGGTTGTCTTGTTTCTGCTTTTTAAAGTTAAAATATAAATAAATAGACACTATGAGGACTCACTGCCACGTGGAAGGGGGGTTAATAACAGCTGGGGGTTGATCTTCTCTGTGGAGGGGGGGAGTTTTCAGGTGAAATTCAAGATTTCTGGATGCTTCTGGCTCCTGCCAGGGTGTTTTTGAAGGTGGCTGCAGAGGGAGTATTTCATCTGGGAGCACCCGTCGCTGCTGATCCCATCCTGATTGATGTAAGCACATTGTCCCGTGCCCCTGACGTTGAACCTGCCCCAAATAAATAATAATAAAAAGCCTTTAAGGGAAGGACACGGGTTGCTGTCAGCCTCAAATCAGCATCTGAGTATCTCCCACAGGGGTTTAATGGTGCTGGGAGGAGCAGGGGGACCCCCCTTCCCACCAAACAACCCGCCCCACGGAGAATAAAAACCGCCTCCCGCTCCATAAAAAGGGAATATTTTCAGTTGGTTGATGCCGGGCAGGTGGGTTCATTCAGAGATGTCCTTGACCCCCTGCATTGCACAAGTCCACGGACCATGGTCCATGTGCTTCAGCTCAAGGAAAACTCAGTGTTTAATTGCTCCCACCTCATTAAACTGAGATATATTTTTATCTTCTGGCATTGAATCCCTGACCCTCAGCCCAGGACATGGTTAATCCCTCCAGGACAAGCTGGGGACGTACGAATTGTTGTAGAGAGACCCGTTAAACCATTTCCAAGGTCCAGAACTTTCCCTGTGGAGCCCAATCCAGTAATGCAAGGAATCCCTGTAGCGCAGGAGGAAATCCTGGAGAGGGATAAAAAGGAAGCATCCTTTATGTAAACCCCAAATCTCCTTCCCCGAAGCTGTGGACACCCCAGTTCCTTGGGGATTTCTCATTTACCAGCTCTTCCCAGCTGTCGACAGCCGCCAAATGGGCTCCGAGAGTGAGGCAGGAGCTCGAGCTCCCGTTCCAATCTGCTTCCTCCTCCAGGAAGTAAAAACACTTCTCCCCGAAGCCAATCCCCTTTTCCTGGCAGCTGGGAAGGATGGGAGAAGGGCAGGACGGGCAGGAGGGGCATTTTTTAACTGAAAAGAAGAATATATTCCCCGGTGGCTGCACCCGTGGCTTTTTTCTCCGGGGGAGGAGGAGATTTGGGTGATGGAGACCCCTCCATCCTCAGCCACTTACCCGCCAGGGAGATGATGGTGAGAAGCAACGCCGCCACCACCAAGGTGACCCCGATGGGGACCTTCTTGTCCTTAAGGCACTTGAGGCTAAAATCTGGGGACAAACAGGGGTGGAAGAGGCAGGGAGCAGCCCCCAGGCTCTTCTAAACCCCACCCTGTGGTGCCTAAAGCACCTTAAAACACAGCCACCAAGCACTGGGGGGTCGAAAGCTCAGTTTTGGGGGGGGCAGGCTCAGTTTGGGGGGTGCTTTTATCAGCTTCCAAGGATTTTTAGGGCTCCCCAACCCCATTCCACCCTCCGCATACCCCATCTCAACCCACGGCTTGCCGCCTCCCCCCTCAACCCCCTTGTTACTTTAATTCAAGTTTAACTGCCCCAGGGGGACACTTAAACCCCACCACGACCTGCAAAAACAGACTGTCCCCAGCACAAAACTGGTTCTTACTGGTGCCTTCGTCCTTCGCTCTCTGCTGCGACAGCATCGTCACGGGCGAGACTTCACCTGCCCAAAAGCAAGAACGAAGGACTTATTGTTCACACTGTGAGGTTATTCCATGGGAAACAAGTGTTTTCTTCCTCCCAGGGGCCAAAAAAATCCCATTTCCCTTTATCTGCTTCGCATACACGTCAGGAAAAGAAACCAAAAAAAAATCCCATTTCCCTTCATCTGCTTCGCATACACGTCAGGAAAAGAAACATGATTTCAATGGTATCTGCCCTTAAAAAAAGGCAGGAATTGTTTTATTTTTCCACCCTCAGAATAAAGAATTTCTGCCCAGTATCTCATCTCAATCTCCCCTTTTTCAGTTTAAAACCAGTTCCCCTCCCTCCCCCTGTCGCTGCCCTCTCTGATAAATTGCTTCCCCGCTTCTCCAACTCCAAGGTGGGACCCTCAGGTGGGGCTGGATGGTCCTTCAAACCCAGTGGAACTGCAGAAACTACCCCCCCCACCCCACCCCACCCCGCGGGGCAGCTCTTAAATCCTCTAAAAAAAGAGGTTTTGTGTTCACGTACCTGCGTCACCAAGAGCTTCTGCCATCCCTGGGGCCACCAAGGAGACAGAAGGACCCCCCGGGGAGACCAGCGTATCCCTCAACTCCACCACCACCACCAAGGTCAGTTGGGTCAAGAAGGACCCCAAGAACCAGCCAGGTCCTTCTCCAGCTCCGGGGATTTGCCAGGATGCTCCTAAAAGAAAATGATAAAAAGCTCACAATCCCCCCCAAAACCTCGGCGTTGCTTGGCACAGCCCTTTTTTCCCCCTAATTATCTTACTTTTCTCAAAGCTCCTTTTTTTTCACGCTGAATTCTTGCTTCTCACAACCTCCCACAAACGCCTATTTGTCTACAATCTTCTTACAAATTGGGCTTTTTTTCCTAAATTCTTTGGATTTTTAACCTTTTCCCGGATTTTTAACCTTTTTCTGAAGCCCACAGTACAACATGAACAGACTCCGGTCTCCCTGAAGAGGAATAAAACTGGTCCCCACAGAAAATAGTTAAATATTATTTGGGCATGCAAGAAAATGGGTAGCAAAGGTAAATCATGTTTGACCAATCTAATAGCCTTCTATGATGCCATAACCGGTTGGTTGGATGAGGGGAGGGCAGCAGATGTCATCTACCTTGACTTCAGCAAGGCTTTTGACACTGTCTCCCATAACATCCTCATGGGGAAACTAAGGCAGTATGGGCTGGATGAGGGGACAGTGAGGTGGATTGAGAACTGGCTGTGTGACAGGACCCAAAGGGTAATGATTAATGGAACAGGTTCAAGATGGAAGCCTGTAACCAGCGGTGTCCTCCAGGGGTCAATACTTGGTCCAGTGCTGTTCAACATATTCATCAATGACCTGAACGAAGGGACAGAGTGTATCCTCAGCAAGTTCTCTGATGATACCAAACTGGGAGGGGTGGCTGACACCCCGGAGGGCCGTGCTGCCATCCAGTGAG